TTCAGTTCTGTTCCATGAGACATGGATGAAAGCCACTAAGTGGGGCTTCCAGAGATTTTAAACAAGGACACCTTTGACTGACATGCTGAATTTGGTCTCTTAAGTTTCATCTTTTTCCTGCTTGAAATGTAGATGTAATAGTTAGAGGTGAAATAACTTTTCTGAGACAATGAAGATGAAAGCCACTCACCAAAGATGGCAGAATAGAGAGATAAATGGAGCTTGGGTTCTTAATAATACTGTTAAACTACCATATCAGTTATGGATTATGTACCCTTGGATTTATTATGTGAAAAAGTAAATTCACAGTGAAGCTACTGATCACAGGATTTTTGTTTCTTGCAACCAAATATGTTCCTATCTGATACAGTATCCCCACTTATTTAATATTCCATCTTTTTATACCAATTTGACATCACCTTCATCATGTATAATTAATTGAGTATAATTCTTGAAACTCGCTTCACTGATCTAAATGACTTCAGTATTTAATAGCTAATATAATAAGAGCCAATGTTTACTGTATGTCAAAACGATTCTATGTTCTTTATATTAATTAACTAGTTCATTTAACCCTAACAACAGCCCTTGGAGCCTTAACTATTTAATATTAATGTGTAGCAACTACAAGTCTAAAACAAAGAGTGAATTAAAGCAAAACAGAATTTAAAAGGCTGAGCACTGTGGCTCACACCTGTAAACCCAACACTTTGGGAGGCCTAGGCAGGAGAATAGCTTGAGCTTAGGAATTCAAGATCAGCTTGGGCAACATGGTAAAATCCCATCTCTACATAAAATACAAAAAATTAGCTAGGTGTGGTGACATGTGTCTGTAGTTTCACTTACTCAGAAGACCGAAGCGAGAGGACAACTTGAGCCTAAGAGGTGAAGGTTGCAGTGAGCCATGATCATGCCACTCCACTCCAGCCTAGGTAGCAGATTGAGATGTTGTCTCAAAACAAAAACAAAAGACAAACCAAGAAATTCACAAGAAAATTAAAAAGGAAAGATTTCAATTATCTATTATCCATATGAAGGATTATGGTGGAATGTTGCTATCCAAGTGGCATGAATGCTGTTCCATGTAGCAGTGGAAAGAGCACTAAACTTGGGGTTTGAAGACTTAAGCCCTTATTCCAACTTTGTAGCTCAGTAATTTTACTATTGAGTTTTAGGCCTTAGTTTCTACATCTGTATAATGAGGTATAATTAGCTTCAGTAAATAATCTCCAAAGTTTTGCCTAACTTTAAGATTCTATGAAAGATTAATAATTAAGACTACAGGTTTTGATATCCACTGGACCTCGGTTTGGATTCAGGATTGAATTACCAGATTCACATATTAATTCAACAAAAGTACTGCAGCTACACTGATCAACATGTCAGAAAGTGTCCCTGCCCTAACAGAGTTTGCATTATAGTGAAGGAATTTTAAAAAATTATACAGAGTATTAAGTACTATGAATGAAATAAGCAGTGGTGTAATAGAGATTAGCTGAGCCACATGGTTAAATTAAATTTTCAAAGATTTCTCTGAAGAGATGGTTGTGAGTTTGTATAACATGAAAAGAAAGCTATGACATAATGATAAATAAAAATTAACATGTAAATTGGTAATTCACTGTTAAATGTGTAGCCTGGCTCAAACAATTTTTAAAAACACTTAAAATGACAGACTGTAACACATACATAGGAAAGTATATAAAACAAACACACAGCTTAATGAATTATTAAAAACGAAACACCCGTGAAAGAAGTCCTCATTGTCCATTTCCAAACACAGCCCTTCTGCCTTCCCATTAAGTGTAACTACTAAGACTTTACAGTGGGCACTTCCTTGCTTTTTATGAAAATTACTTTGCCAACTGATTGTGGAGAGTTGTACAGCTATACAAATTTACTAAAATCAAACTGCATTTACAATGAATTTTATTTTTCTCTCTTTTTTTTTTAACTAGTCAAGTGCAGTTGTGAGAAGGAGGGAAAAAGAGTAGAACAAGGAGTTCGATCTGTAACTGACTGTGAACAATCAATTGAGGTAACTCACTATCTCTGGACGAGCCTTTTTTCTTTTTTGAGACGGAGTCTCGCTCTGTTGCCAGGCTGGAGTGCAGTGGTGCGATCTCGGCTCACTGCAACCTCTGCCTCCTGGGTTCAAGCAATTCTCCTACCTCAACCACCCAAGTAGCTGAGACTACAGGCATGCGCAATCACGCCCAGCTAATTTTTGTATTTTTAGTAGAGACAGGGTTTCACAATGTTGGCCAGGATGGTCTCAAGCTCTTGATCTTGGGATCTGCCTTCCTCTGTATCCCAAAGTGCTGGGATTACAGGTGAGCCACCACGCCAGGCCTGTGATGAATTTTATGGTATGTAAATTATACATTGCTAAAGCTGTTTTAAAGGACTTTGCATTTCAGTACGCATCCCTAAACACTATAGCTTAATTTTGCCTGTTCAAATGTCATATAATACAGTACAAATTCTTTTATGTTTGTCTCTTTCACTCAACTTAATAGTAAAATTCTTCATGTTCTTGTACGTGGCTTTAGTTCATTTATTTTTCTTTTTTTGGAAATGGAGTGTCACTCTGTCACCCAGGCTGGAGTGCAGTGTTGTGTTCCTGCCTCACTGCAACCTCTGCATCTCGGGTTCAAGCAATTCCCTGCCTCAGCCTCCTGAATAGTTGGGATTACAGGCACCCACCACCACACCTGGCTAATTTTTCTATTTTTAGTAGAGACGAGGTTTCATCACCCTAGCCAGGCTGGTCTTGAACCCCTGACCTTGTGATCCACCTGCCTTGGCCTCCCAAAGTGCTGGGATTACAGGCGTGAGCCACTGTGCCTGACCAGTTCATTTATTTTCATTGCTGTATAAGATTCCATTGTATAATTATACAAATTATTTGTCCATTCTATGTTGACGGACATGTTTCCATTTTTGGCTATTCGAATAATGTTATTGTGCACATTCTTGTACATGTCTCTTGTGGTATATGTACACACATTTCTGTTGAATATATGTCAAAAGTATAATTGCATATCTTGGCCTTTAGTATTAAAAGCACGTTTCTCCCAGCACTTTGGGAGGCCGAGGCGGGTGGATCACGAGGTCAAGAGATAGAGATGATCCTGGTCAACATGGTGAAACCCCGTCTCTACTAAAAATACAAAAAATTGGCTGGGCATGGTGGTGCGTGCCTGTAATCACAGCTACTCAGGAGGCTGAGGCAGGAGAACTGCCTGAACCCAGGAGGCGGAGGTTGTGGTGAGCCGAGATCGTGCCATTGCACTCCAGCCTGGGTAACAAGAGCGAAACTCTGTCTCAAAAAAAAAAAATAAATAAAAATAACGAATAAAAGCACGTTTCTGGCGGGGCACAGTGGCTTATGCCTGTAATTGCAGAACTTTGGGAAGCTGAGGCAGATGGATCACCTGAGGTCAGGAGTTCGAGACCTGCCTAGCCAACATGGTGAAAACCTCATCTCTACTAAAAATACAAAAATTAGCCAGGTGTGGAGGTGGGCACCTGTGATCCCAGCTACTCAGGAGGCTGAGGCAAGAGAATTGCTTAAACCTGGGAGGCTGGCAAAGGTTGCAGTGAGCCGAGATCGCACCACTGCATTCCAGCCTGGCGACAAAGCGAGACCCTCCATCCAAAAAAAAAGCATGTTTCTGATACCATATTTCTACTCAAAAGCTTTGACAGGCCAGGTGTGGTGGCTTACACTTGTAATACCAGTTATTTGGGAGGCTGAGATGGGTGGATCACTTGAAGTTGGGAGTTCTCAAGACCAGCCTGGCCAACAAGGTGAAACCCTGTCTTTACTAAAAATAAAAAAATTAGCCAGGTGTGGTGATGGGCGCCTGTAATCCCAGCTACCTGGGAGGCTGAGGCAGGAGAATCACTTAAATCTGGGAGGCAGAGGTTGCAATGAGCCGAGATTGCACCACTGTACTCCAGCCTGGGTGACAAGAGCAAGACTCCATCTCAAAGAAAAAAAAAAAACGGCTCTGACAAAGAAAGAAGAATGGCCTAGAATGTCAGGTATGATGCTGACTTACCTGTTTAATTTCATTAACTACTAAATTTCAGCCAAAGTGGCTTTCTTTTTATATATTTTTATTTTTCCCAAGCGCACTCACAAACTGTAATTCCTTCTATCTGGAATAGTCTTCTTTACCTACTTTGCCTAGTTAACTTTTACTTTTCCCTAAAATTTCAGTTTACACATCATTGCTTCAAGGAAGGCTTCTTTTATTTACTTGCTTACCATCACAGGCCTCTTTTTCTCATTTGTTGCAACAGTTTTACAATTTGTGAAATTATTTGGCTGAGTTCCCAGCAAAATAAGCTGATTAAAGTCAGGGTGTGTGTATATGGGGAGTCTTTTTTGCATATTATTGTATCCCTACACTCAGCATAGTACATGGGTTAACAAATACTTGATTAATATCTATTGTCACTTCACATTCAGAGTGCAAAATTCAAATGCTGTTTCTTCTCAATGTTTTATTATTCAGGCCACCACTAGCACCATACTTTGAAAATATATTTTTATAAGGTAAAAGATTTTATTAAGTACTATTTGGTAAAAAAAAAAGACTGAGAAACTTAGTACCTAGGCCCGTCATCATAAACATGAGTATTTTTACTGTTTTCCACGAAGAGACTATAATGATCATAGGAGATAATTCTCCATAAGGATTATAAAACATATAGGTTGTTTTATTATCAAATGGTGCTTACTATTTAAAAAATACTTTACATAGACAACTAGTTCCACCAAAGTGAGAGGTATAAAATAGAGCAAAAAATATGGAACGTAATCATTTATTCTTCAACAAGTGCTTATATGAACAGCAGCAATCTGCTTTTACATTATCTTTTCCCCTTTATCACTATGAGAAATTTCTCCCCATTATCATTTTGTGTAATTTCACTTCTTCTTGTGTAAATACTTTTGTTTTTTAATAAAAATTGCTCAGTGGCAACTATTACATAAAAACCAAGGTTTTTATTCTTGATGAACTTAATTTACTTATTATTTTAGTTTTAACAAAATTATTACTGGAGAGAATGCTTCCTTTTGTCATAAGTATTAACAACTTGTATATACATTAATTACAACTTCAAAATATTTACACAAATATTCTACTTTTTCATATTAGTATCTAACTTAATTATCTTAGTAACAACATTAGTATAGCATGGACTACTATAAACCAAATATCTTCAAAGTAAAAGCCTGCAAATATCTTGCTGAAAATAGAAAAGTTGAAACCAGGGTACTGCCAATATAAAATGTAAAGTAGGGAAACATTTTACCACTGCCATCTTAATCTTCTCTACATTCTTTCTCTAACGTAAACTCCAAACTGCAACCTCAGCATTATCAAAAGAATTTTTAAGGAGAAAACTAATCCTAAGTTTCACGTTTAATAACATATGCTGTGTATAGGGAACAAACCATTTCTTTCTGTATCACTGTAACCATAAAGACATGGTTGGGTCTAAAATTTTCACCAGTTTGTTATAAATAAAATGTATTTATTCATAAGTAAAACTTACTTCAGAATGTATTTTTGTTTTGTTTTTTTTTTTTTTTAAGACGGAGTTTCGCTCTTGTTACCCACGCTGGAGTGCAATGGCGCGATCTCGGCTCACCGCAACCTCCGCCTCCTGCGTTCAGGCAATTCTCCTGCCTCAGCCTCCTAAGTGGCTGGGATTACAGGCACTCGCCACCACGCCCAACTAATTTTTTGTATTTTTAGTAGAGACGGCATTTCACTATGTTGACCAGGATGGTCTCCATCTCTTGACCTCGTGATCCACCCACCTCCGCCTCCCAAAGTGCTGGGATTACAGGCGTGAGCCACCGCGGCCGACCGTATTTTTTTTTTTTTTAAGAGATGAGGTCTTACTGTGTTGCCCAGGCTGGAGTGCCATGGTTACTCACAGGCACGATTCCACAACAAATCAGCATGGGAGTTTTGATATATTATGTTTTGCAGTGCAAAAATGTAAGAATGTCTAGCCTTTCTGATGTCAAAGTTATAATTTAGGGATTTACTTGAAGAGTATCAACAGATTCTTAAACATACAAAATTCTGCTAGGAAATTACAGTTGAACCTTGAACATCACAAATTTGAATACTGTGGGTCAACTTACATGCAATTAAAATTTTTTTTTTCTTTTTTGAGACAGGGTCTCACTCTGTGGCCCAGGATGGCATGCAGTGGTGTGATCACGGCTCACTGCAGAGCCTCAACCTCCAAAGCTCAAGCAATCCTCTTGCCTCAGCCTCCTAAGTAACTGGGACCACAGGGAAGTGCCACCATGCCCAGCTAATTTTTCTTTTGTAGAGATGGGATCTCACTATGTTGACCAGGCTGGTTTTGAACTCCTGGGCTCAAAATAATCCTCCCCCCTCAGCCTCCTCAAGTGCTGGGATTACAGGTGAGACACTGTACCCAGGCATACATACAATTTTTTTTTTTTGAAACAAACTAGGATTGAAATTAACAGTAGTGTCAGGATGTAAAACCCATTTAAATCATGGGCCTACTTTTTGTACACTTGGATTCTGCAGTGAAGACTGTGGGACTTGAGTATGTGTGGAATTTGGTATGCGGTGGTTCCAGTACCAATCCCCTTTGTATACAGAGGAACGACTGTATACAAATGAGGAATGGAGCACTTCTAATTCAGAGGTTTTTAAAAATTAAATTATGATGATGATGATGATGATTAGAGGCAGGTTCTCACTATCGCCCATGATGGTCTTCAACTCCTGGGTTCAAGCAATCCTCCTGTCTTGGCCTCCCAAAATGCTGGGATTATAGACCTCAGCCACCGTGCCTGGCTGTAATTCAGTTTATAAGGGAAATTTTATAGTATAAGGCTCAAAGTTTCAATTAAACCATTTATGAAGGAGAATAATAAAACAGTATTACTCTGTGTACATATGACAGTGCAGAGAATTGTTGGGAGTGAGTTTTAGCTCTGTTAAGAATTGTTTCAGAATGTGATACCATAGTCCGAAAGAACTGTATGAAAATAAGATACTATTTTAAAAACAAAGGTGCTGGGCATGGTGGCTCACACCTGTAATCCCAGCACTTTGGGAGGCCAAGGCAGGTGGATGGATCACCTTAGGTCAGGAGTTCAAGACCAGTCTGGCCAACATGGTGAAAACCTGTCTCCACTTAAAATGAAAAAAATTGGCTGGGCATGATGGCGGGTGTCTGTAATCCTAGCTACTAGGGAGGCTGAGACACAAGAATCGCTTGAACCCAGGAAGCAGAGGTTGCAGTGAGATTGTGCCACTGTACTCCCTCCAGCCTGAGCGACAAAGCAAGACTCCATCTCCAAAAAAATAAGAACAAGTGTCACAGTTCCCTAAAGCCTAAAATGTGCACTAGCAAAAATGAATATTTAAAAATATTCAACTAATTTTCTTGACTATAAAAAATATTTTTATTAAGTTGTAGAAGCTTTATTCACTGTTTTGTTACATCAAAAATTTTAAAAATGACTAAATTTTAAACAATACTTAAACAAAAATATTTACGTTGTATTTTAAGTCAATGCAAATTTTCACTAATTTAGAAGTCTATATATATTAATACAGGTTGAGGGTACCTTACCCAAAATGGTTGGAACCAGAGTTTCTCAGGTTTCAGATTTTTTCAGATTTGCAGAAACATATAGTGGTTGAGCTTTCCTAATCAAAAATTTGAAATCCAAAATGCTCCAATGAACATTTCCTTTGAAGTATCACATCGGCACTAAAAAATGTTCTTATCTGGAGTACTGAATTTTGGATTGGGGTGCTCAATGGCTATATGAGAATTTGGGGAATTCCTGCAAATGGACACATTACTACATATAAAATTGTCTTACAGACCTTAGAAATAAGGTTTCAAATGGTTCCTAAACTTTACAAATCTTTGTAAACTTTTTAAAACTATGCTTAATTATATATAGACTTTAATTTTTTATCAAACTTTCAATTATTTAACAGTCAACTTGAAAAAGAAGCAAGCATGTCTCCTACTTATTTTTTGGAGGATTACCATTCATCAGGAGTACTATAACTGGTAACACTTAAAAGACACATATTTACTCACACGCAACTAGAAGAGACATAGGATACACAGATTATCTGGCCAGTTCTGTTTCAAAAATTCTAATGAACTAATAATTACGTTTGAAATCATGATTTAAAAAATCAGTATGACTCAGAAAATATATGAAAAATTCAAGGAGAGGACATTGTTATGGTCATCTTACCATTATTAGCCATGGTAGTACTGTGTCTTGCACACATCTACAAATCATGTTTTTAAACTGACAATCTGTTCTAACTATTGCTCATTAGCACACAAAGATGGTATTTGTTGAGTTTGAAACAATGTAATTTGTTTTTATAGATACCCTAAAATAAGATAGTTCCCAAGATTAAATGCTATTTTAAAATACCTTTTTAGAACAAAAATACCTAATTTTATCTTATATCATTAGGAGTAAACATGATCCATATAAGTGATTTTTTTTTAAATTCATACCTTAAAACAGTAACAGTTTTAAAAAACCATTTTTTAATAGAGGTGATCCTAAAATACATTCATTTAATGGCCTGTAAAATTCTACCTCCTGGTCCTGACCCTCAAGCTTTTTGTGAAAGATTCCAGGGTCAACACTATGAACATCAAATATAATTCTCTATTATAACAAAGTACTAACGTCAGCAATTTCTGAAGTATAACAAATGTTTATCTTACATTTGCTGCTTCTGTAGGCCTAGATTTTTCCTGATCACTTCATGTTATTCTAACTTCTAGAAGTCCTATCCCTTTGGTGATTCTCATCTGTTTTGAAAAAAAAAAATCAGTACCTATAATTTTCTACATTTTTCTAGCTCAAAAGTGCTCTACACTTTTTCTGCAGCTTAAAATCAGTTTTTCTTTTTCTTTCCTTTTGGGATCGGGGAAAGGAAGAGGGGTGGGCTTGATAACATGTTCATTTGTAGGCTTGCTTCAGAGGTGCTGGGTATTTCCTGATGGATAAGTTTGCTAAAGAAATACACACCAAGAAGTCGCCATGTTATCACATGGAGGACAGCAGCAAACTCTTCCAGATGAGACCAGAAAGGATAATACAATAATTTACTAACAGTTAACAGACATTTGCTATTTTATAGACATAAATAAAATGTTTAAAAGACTTTACAAAGTAATATTAACTAAAGGCATATCTAAAAACCTATGAAGTTATTTGCAACCAAAATTTCACTGATAAAATTATTTCTTACTATTTCCCTTAGCAAAAACTGTACATTTGTTAGAGAGTACCTGATACTTGTTAAAATATCAAGTAATACAGGGCATGGTGCTATTAAAAAAAAACACACAAGTGGGAAGTATTTTATTTTTTTCTACTCCATATAACATTGTTCAAGACCACAAGATTTTGAAGGTCTCTTTCTGCAACTTTTATGATTTAGAAGCACCACTTAAAAATATTTACTGATGCTCCAAATATTACTGTTTTGTACAGAATTATGATTTTAATGAATGCCATATTCATTATACCTTTTGCTCCTTTGAACAGAAAAATAAACAGAAACTTTAAATCAGATGTTTGGACATTCAAAAATGGTTTTAAAAAGTACACCCAAACAAACCAAATATATATCAGCAACTATTAAAATCAATTTTAGTAGTTATTAAGATTTCTTAACAAGAAAGTACTGAAGCATGTGTGAGGTTTAAAAAATTATATACAATTTTAAAAACAAATTTAAATTTTTAAACAAAAAAGATTAATGGCCAAATGAAAAAAAGTTTAAGCATCAGATTTAATATCCTAATGTTTAAGCTATTCAGAAATATATTTTGTGAATAATTATTTCATAAATATATGTATAAATATAAATATATATCTGTGATGCTGGAGAAAACATTTTAAAGAAAAAAATTGTACTTTAGATTATCAGGACATTGTCAAATTTACCCTTCAAGTGAAATGTAATTACCAATCCAGGTGCTTTTGGCACAAGTTTTTAGGTGAATATTGACACAATCTTAAAAACACAATCCTTTTGTATTTTATTTGCTGGAATATGGAGAATCAAACAGAATTTAAAATTCTGACCCAAAAATCCCAGGTAACTGCAATTGCTTAATTAAATACAAAAAAATTGTTTTAAAAAGCACTTAAACTTCCCTTTCCATCTGGAACATGTAAAATTTTACCAGCAACAGGTTTTCATCAATTCCTTCAGCAAGAATTCCCAGCCTACACACAAATGTAACACCATCTTTTTCTATCCAAGTATAACTTGGATCACACACCAGTATATAAAGACAAAAAATAAATGTATAATAAAAAGATTGGATAAATCAGAAGAGGCTTTTTGGTCTTGAATTCTTCACCCACTAACAATGAAGCAGCACTGTAGGCAGCCCAAAACACACCAAACAGCTTTAAAAAAAAAAGGAAAAAAGACAAAAGGTAGTATATTAGCAAGTCAATTAACTTTTTGGATATCACAGAATAAAAACAGTGTTTACAAAATTAAAAAAAAAATCAACCACCAATTTTGTTAAATAGTAAAACTTCTTACAAATGTTAAAAACAATTTAATAAGAATGTTCATCTTTGCTTTACTCCTTGACTTCTATAAATGTCGTCTTTTCTTTTGTAAATTTGGTCTTATCAAACTAATCATAAGAATCACTTGGGATACCTAATAAAGCGAGACTTGGGGGGACTCTACTTCTGCCGAATTATAACTTATTATTTTTTTCTTTTTCTTTGAATTATAATTTCTAACGAAAAGATCCAGTATCAGTCTTTTAAATAAGTTCCCTGGTGATTATGATTAGGCAACTTGTGAAAAAACTACTATTACACCAAATTACTGAGCAAAAACTAATTCCTACAAAGTAGGAAATTTTCCTTTTTTTCCTTCTAAGTAAGAAAATCGATTAAGTGAAAATTTTATACAGTATTTATTAAGTCTCAATATTTATTAAGTTTTTTCCCCAGGAAAAGGTAGAAATACAGGGTTGAATAAAAAGGAGAAAAAAAAAAGATCACGCTGGGCATGGTGGCTCAAGCCTGTAATCCCAGCACTTTGGGAGGCCGAAGTGGGCGGATCACAGGGTCAAGAGATTGAGACCATCTGGCCCACATGGTGAAACCCCGTCTCTACTAAAAATACAAAAATTAGCTGGGTGTGCTGGTATGCGCCTGTAATCCCAGCTACTTGGGAGGCTAAGTCAGGAGAATTGCTTGAACCCGGGAGGTGGAGGTTGCAGTGAGCCGAGATTGTGCCACTGCACTCCAGCCTGGCGCCTGGCAACAGAGTGAGACTCTGTCACAAAACAAAACAAAACAAAACAAAACAAAATAAAAAAATCACATTTTGGTCAGGAGTTTAAATAAAGTATATCATAAGTTTTTGGATTATACACATAGGTACTTTTACATTATTTCTACTGGAAATTTATGCAGTACTTATTGATGTAGTCACCTAACATATTTTACAGCATAAAATTAAGGGAAAACTTCAAGAGAAATCAAGGAAACTATAATAGGAATGGACTTGGCACAAAGCAGAGTTTCTAAACCTTGCAATATTGACATTTTAGGCTGCATAAACATCTTGGCTGTGGGGAGCTATACTGTGCACTGAAGGATGTTCAGCAGCATCCCTGCCCTCTATGCACTATATGCTAGTAACATTCCTCCTCAAAAATGCCTCCAGATGTTGACAAATGTCCCCTGGGGGACAAAATCGACCTCAGTTAAGAATCACTGGTATATAGGTAAAAAATAAATACTGGCAAACTTATTAAAAATGTATTTGGTGTGGTTCAGCTTTCCACTGGGTTTGTTAAACTTGAAAAACAAAAGTAACGCTACAAAATAATTAGAACATACACAAAAGTACAGGGAAATATATAAAAAGAAATTTGATCGAACTGCATTTTATTTCATGATTAAGTTTTTTTCATTATAAATGGTTAAAGAGCGGTAAGTATTACGGAGATTTAATGTTAAATAAAATTAGTGCACTTAAACTATATACCCTAATGCTAGTTAACTGATGAATTTTGCAACATATTTCTCAACAAACCTCAGACTGAAATACGAAACACGCATAATAGCTCACTACCCACAGAAGATTAAGTGGTCAGCAAAATATTTTGGTAAAAATAGTCTGAAGTTTAAAAGCAATTTTACTCTAAATTTTTAATGATATAAAATAGATTTTTCCATTGTATGGTACATTTATATGTTGTGTAAAGAATATTAAGGTTCAACTTTCAGTTGAATTATATGATTAAAAATGACAAGAGAAGGGTTTTAACCATTTTGGAAGTAGTCTCAGAAACAAGCTTACTCCAAATGAAAAAACATACAGCGGAAGTGATTGTAAATGAGTGTATGTTCACTAAGGCTAAAATAATTAAATGTCAGCATGAGGCTAGCTGCTTCAGTGTTAAGACTTTTAAACTAAGTTCTAATAATGCCAATAAAAAAAACATTTTAAGGTTGAAATGAAGAGGAAAGCAAGGTTTCTTTAGTCTCTAAAGTGTTTAAACAGTTTAAACACAAAGATGATCCTTAAATATTATAATTTGGGTTTTTATTAAGACAAGGTCTCACTCTGTCACCTACACTGGAGTACAGTGGTATGATCACGGCTCACTGCAGCCTCGACCTCCTAGACTCAGGCATCCTCCCATCTCAGCCTTCTGAGTAGCTAGGATTACAGGAGCATGCCACCACGTCTGGCTAATTTTTGTACCTTTGGAGAGACAGTCGAGTCTTGAACTCCTGGGCTCAAGTGATCACCCACCCCAGCCTGCCAAAGTGCTGGGATTGATGAGAGTGAGCCACCATACCTGACCTATTTTATATTTGTAAAAACAACAGCTTGAGTGCCTACTCTGTGCCAAGCACTATACTAGGCATTATATATACTTTATTTTTTTGAGACAGGGTCTCACTCTGACAACCCAGACTGGAGTGCAGCAATGTGATCACAGCTCACTATAGCCACGGCCTCATGGGCCCAAGCAATCCTCCCACCTCAGCCTCCCAAGGAACTGAGACCACAGGTACCTGCCAGCACACCTAATTTCTTAAATTTATTTTTAATTTTTTTTAATTTTTATTTTTTTCCCTGATGTCCTACAAATGAAAGAGGAGGATGCCCTTACACCTGGCTAATTTTTTTGTAGAGATTGTGATAACCTGCTTTTTGCCAGATAAAACTTTCTCAGACTAAAAGCTGTTCAGGCTTTATGTTAGTTTCTTGAGCTGGACAGACTCCACCTTGGCTTCTTCATTTTAGTTTTCTCTCACCATTAAGTATATAATTATCATATGTAACTGGGGCAGGCTGACACTGGGCACCCAGGAATGCATTTGTTGATAAGAGGCCAAGTTAAGTGGTACCAGCAGAACCTGGGAATGCAGGTGCAGTTGAGCGCCCAGAGCCCCCATTATCTGTAAGTTGTATGTCTTTTATGATAGCTTTGTCCCTTGCACCTGGTAGTGTTTTATTTCTCATGTATCAGTTTAACTTTTTGCTTAGTCTGCTTTCGTGAAAAATTTGCTTCAGCTAGGTTTAAAACTAAGGTATAAAAGACCACCTAACTTTTTCTTCAGGGCCAATAGAATTTTGGGCATTAGCCACCTTTTGGTCACCGGCTTAATAAAGGACTCATAATTCAACTTCAAAGTGTGGCACATTCCTTGACTCTCTTGGGTACAACAAGATGAAGTGTCACCATGTTGCCCAGGCTGATCTCAAAGTCCTGGGCTCAAGTAATCCACCTGCCTCAGCCAAAGTGCTGGGATTAAAGGCATGAGCCACCATGCCTATCAGCACTATATATACTTTAAACTCGTTGTAACTAGCCCTAAAATATAGTTGCTAAGTTTACCACTGTTGAGAACAAACTGAGAGTAAGTTAAGATACCTTGGAAGACCAGGCAGCAAGTAAGTGGCAGACTAGGGTTTGAATTTAGAACTGATTAGTTCCAAAAACCACACTCTTTCAATACCCAATGCTTATTATCAGTATTAGCTTATAGTTTCCAAATTCTTTTTTTGCTTTTTCTGTTTTGTTTTTTTGAGATAGAGTCTCACTCTGTTGCCAGGCTGGAGTGTAGTGGTGCAATCTCGGCTCACTGCAATCTTCGCCTCCTGGGTTCAAGCAATTCCCCTTCCTCAGCCTCCCAAGTAGCTGGGACTACAGGTGTATGGCACCACACCCAGCTAATTTTTATATTTTTTAGTAGAGATGGGGTTTCACCATGTTGGCCAGGACGGTCTTGATCTTTTGATCTCGTGATCCACCCGCCTCAGCCTCCCAAAGTGCTGGGATTACAGGCGTGAGCCAACACGCCTGGCTTTTTAAAAAAATTTTAATAGAGACAGAGTTTCATCACGTTGGCCAGAATGGTCTTGATCTCTTGACCTCACGATCCACCCATCTCAGCCTCCCAAAGTGCTGGGATTATAGGCATAAGCCACCGCACCTGGCCTAGTTTCCAAATTCTAACAGGAATCATTATTTATTTTATATTGCAATTAGTAATAATTTCAAGTGGCTCAGCTACTTAAAACCAAATACTTTCATGTGGAGGCTACATAACAGTAGCTCTGAAAGTCACAGTCTTTAACGGTTCTGTTTTCCATAAAGAAAAAAAATTATATTCACTGTGTAATACACATATATGTGTCAAAGAAGTCATTTATTTCCCAAAGTTGTTTAACATTAATAAATTCCAATTAAGTTATATATTAATACTTAATATTATCAATAAATGTTTAAATGTGTGTATATATGTTCATTTAACATAAATAACACAAAGAAGTCCTGCTCTGCATTACGGAAAATCCACTGTGCCACTGCACTCCAGCTGGGCAACAGGGTTAGACTCTATCTCAAAAAAATAAAATAATAAAATAAGTAAATAAAAAAATGCTGATCAGGCCAGGTGTGGTGGCTCATGCCTGTAATCCCAGCACTTTGGGAGACTGAGGTAGGCAGATCACCTGAGGTCAGGAGTTCAAGACCAGCCTGGCCAACATGGGGAAACCCCATCCCTACTAAAAACAAAAAGTTAGTCAGGCATGGTGGCACATGCCTATAGTCCCAGCTACTAGGGAGGCTGAGGCAGGAGGATCACATGAACCTGTGAGGCACTCCAGCCTTGGTGACAGATCAAGACTCCATCTTAAAAAAAAAAAAAAAAGTCTTGACTGTTATATCCTGAAACCTGATTTACTCTTTATTTTTCCCTCCAGACAAAGGGGAATATCTCGTGATAAATAGAAATAAATAAATAAAAGAAATGTAATTGGTAAAATCAGTAAGGAAGATAACTTCCAAGATACTACCAACTGTTTGATAAATAGCTTTATATTACAACATTCCTAGCTAGAGGCCTCATACACTTTTGACATTAGAAAACAGTAAACTACTTTATGTAATACATAATCCTTAACTTACTTTTATAAGTGTAGACACCACTTCAAATGATCCGACCACCAAAAGTATAGGTGCTATTACAATGAGAGGAAGTAATGAATATCCTATAACTCCAAGGACTTGGCCATATGCAACCTGTGAATTTTGAAAATTTCAAATAAATATCATAGAAATCAAGATACTCATTTTAATCACAACTGAACACCATATATTCCTTGCTGTATTTAAATAAGTGTGAGAATAAGAAATAATAAACTATTATACTTACTATTTCAAATTATCATATAGTCTCCCAAGTTCCTGGACAGTCTCACCAACCAACACGGTTACAATTATCATAAGTTTGCTGATAATACCCAAATCTACATTTACAGCATTTATCTCTCTCTTGAGTTTCATACTACCTTCAGTATATCTCTACACTATATTTTGTCACTATTTCCCTTAAATTATAGAATTACTTAAAGGAACTACAACCATCCCATTCACACGAAAAATCCAAGGTCTAGAGAACATGGATGTTCCAAATGAAGACCAGAAGGAAAGGAAGGTGACCAGAAGAGATTTAAGAGAAAAATATTTTTTAGTGACTACTTTATGCCAAGCTCTGTAATTGGGTTTAACATGCTTTGGAAATCAAATGAAATAACAACCTTATGAATAGACATTATTGTACCTATTGCGAATAAATTGATTAAGCAAAGCTAGTAAAGTGTCAGTATTCAAATTAAAATCTAGGCCCCTAAAATCCTACATCAAAAGTCTTGAATTAACAAAACTGTTGTATAAAATTTTCATGTAAATATTACACTAGGTTTTGTCTAGGACATAAGAAATAATATGTAAACAAATACAATTTTAAGTGTTTATTAGAATTATTTTAAATTTCTGTATGCAGAGTATTAAAGCTTCACAGATATTACTCTAAATTTATTCAAGAATTTTGTTAAGATGCTGGATTGAGCATATATAGCTAACATTCACTTCTGAAATTAGAAATAGAAGGGAAAAAAGAAACTCATTTTTAAAAACAAAACAAAAAAAACAACAACTACTCCTGAACTCAAGTGATCCTCTGTAATCCTCCCACCTCAGTCTCACAAGTAGCTGGGACTACAAGCATGTACCACCACACCTAGCTCAAAACTCCTTATTTATTTATTTTTGAGACAAGATCTCACTGTCAGCCAGGCTAGAGTGTAGTGGCATGAACACAGCTCACCACAGCCATAACCCCCCGGGCTCAGGTAAGCCTCCTGCAAGTCCCTGGTAGCTGGGACCACATGCACACACCATCATGCCTGGCTAATTTTAAAATTATTTATAGAGGCAGGGTCTCCTTGTGTTGTCCAGGCTGGTCTTGGAACTCCTGGGCTCAAATAATCCTCCTGTGTCAGCCTTCAAAAGTGCTGGGACTACAGGTACGAGTCACAGTGACCAGCGCCTTGAATTTTGGTGTAGTATCAGAGAACATTCACAATCATTGGAAAAGGTTATTAAAATACTCTCCCTTTCCAATTGTATACCTGTATAAGGCCTTATTTTCTTCAGCTACTTTAGCCAAAACAATGTATCTTAACAGATTGAATGGAAAAAGCATATATTAGAATCCAATTTCCATTAAGCCAGACATTAAAGCTACTTACAAAAAGGTAACAAAAGGCTACTGTTCTCTTTTGTTTTGAAAAATATAGTTATTTTTCTTTAAATGTATTTAAAGAAAAATATATTTAAAATGTAAATTGTTTATTGTTACAAATCTCTTTGACAACCTGACATCAAAAAGTTTGAGAATTTCTATAAGAATAAATTTCAGCTGGGTGCAGTGCTTCACGCCTGTAATCCTAGCATTTTGGGAGGCTGAGGCAGATAACCTGATGTCAGGAGTTCAAAACAAGCCTGACCAACATGGTGAATTCCTGTCTCTACTAAAAATACAAAAATTAGTCAGGCAGGGTGGTGTGTGCTTGTAATCCCAGCTATTTGGAAGGCTGAGGCAGGAGAATCCCCTGAACCTGAGAGGTGGAAGTTGCAATGAGCTGAGATTGTGCCACTACACTCTAGTCTGGGTAACAAAGTGAGACTTTATCTTGAAAAAAATAAATAAGGCTGGGTGTAGTGGTTCACACCTATAATCCCAGCATATTGGGAGGCTGAGGTGGGTGGATCACAAGGTCAGGTGTTCAACACCAGCCTACCAAGATGATTGAAACTGTGTCTCTATTAAAAATACAAAAATTAGGCTGGGTACCGTGGCTTACGCCTGTAATCTCAGCACTTCGGGAGGCCAAGGTGGATGGATCAAGAGGTCAGGAGACTGAGACCATCCTGGCCAACATGGTGAAACTCTGTCTCTACTAAAATACAAAAAATTAGGCAAGTGTGGTGCTGTGCACCTGTAGTCCCAGCTGCTTGGGAGGCTGAGGCAGGAGAATTGCTTGAACCCAGGAGGTGGAGACTGTAGTGAGCCGAGATCGTGCCACTGTACTCTAGCCTGCAGACAGAGCAAGACACTGTCTCAAAAAAAAAAAAAAAATTAGCTGGGTGAGGTGATGGGCTCCTGTAATCCCAGCCAGTTGGGAGGCTGAGGCAGGAGAATCGCTTAAATCCAGGAGGCAGAGGGTGCAGTGAGCTGAGATCTCGCCACTGCACTCTAGCCTGTGTGACAGAGCAAGACTCCATCTCAAATAAATAAATAGGCTGGGCGCAGTGGCTCATCCCTGTAATCCCAGTACTTTGGGAGGCCATGGCAGGCAGATCACCTGAGGTCAGGAGTTCGAGACCTGCCTGACCAACATGGAGAAACCCCGTCACTACTAAAAACCCAAAATTAGCCAGGCATGGTGGTACATGCCTGTGATCCCAGCTACTCAGGAGGCTGAGGCAGGAGAATTGCTTGAACCTAGGAGGCAGAGGTTGCAATGAGCCAAGATTGTGCCGTTATACTCCAGCCAGGGCAACAAGAGCAAAACTTCATCTTAAAAAAATTAAATAAAAATAAATATATAAATAAAATAAATAAATAAATTTTGGCTGGGTGTAGTGGCTCACTCCTGTAATCCCAGCACTTTGGAAGGCCAAGGTGGGCAGATCGCTTGAGATTGGGAGTTTGAGTAGAGGGGTTTCACCGTCTCTATTAAAAGTACAAAAATTAGCCAGGCGTGCTGGCACATGTGTAATCCCAGCTACTTGGGAGGCTGAAGCAGAAAAATCGCTTGAACCTGGGAGGCAGGGGTCGCAGTGAGCCAAGATTGCCCCACTGCACTCCAGCTTGGGTGACAAAGCAAGACTCCATCTAAAAATAAAAAATTCATAAATAAAAAATAGGCTGCATTTACTTCACAAATGGGAGGGGATATTTTCTTTTTCCTCATTTCATGTACCATTGATTGAGTAAGCACAATTACAATATGTTGATCATCTTAAAGGAACTAGCATAAGCAATTCTGGAACAAGAAACAGTTATTTTCTTGTATAGCTAATGATGATATATACAGTATCAAAAATTAAACTCACCATAAAAAAGAAAGGTCATTTTCAAAATTAATTACTTACTTCTCCACCAAGAACTCTGGCCAGTAAGAAAATTGTTAGTGAACCAAATATCCAAATGGTTATAATCCATGAGACCACCTTAGAGGGAAAAATCATGCAATTAATATTTTCATATAAAATAAGCTGATAATTTTCCAGGAACTCAATTCTCTGCCACAAATGACAGTTTAGCACACTCAAGTTCAGGTCATAGAGAGGTTATGTGAGCTCTCAGGTATCGTTCCAAAACTTAATTAGAATACGATGTGTATAAGGCCGGGCGCGTTGGCTCACGCCTGTAATCCCAGCACTTGGGGAGGCCGAGGCAGGCAGATCATGAGGTCAAAAGATTCAGACAATCCTGGCCAACATAGTGAAACCCCATCTCTACTAAAATATAAAAATTAGCGGGGTGTGGTGGTGCGCATCTGTAGTCCCAGCTACTTGGGAGGCTGAGGCAGGAGAATTGCTTGAAACTGGGAGGCGAATACAATATGTAATACAATTTTACATTCAAATTAAAGTTCTAGCAATTACTAACTACCTAAAGAAACCAGGCACGGTGGCTCACGCCTGTAATCCCAGCGCTTTGAGAGGCTGAGGCGAGTGGATCACAAGGTCAAGAGATCGAGACCATCCTAGTCAACATGGTGAAACTCCATCTCTACTAAAAATACAAAAATTAGCTAGGCATGGTGGCGCGTGCCTATAATCCCAGCTACTCAGGAGCCTGAGGCAGGAGAATTGCCTGAACTCAGGAGGTGGAGGTTGCAGTGAGCCGAGATCGCGCCATTGCACTCCAGCCTAGGTAACAAGAGAGAGACTCTGTCTCAAAAAAAAAAAAAGAAAGAAAGAAACCTCGGTATTTTAAAATCTATGATAAAAGATTATTGAACAAAACAATGTTTAGTACTAACCTCCTGACTTACAGCAGGAGGTAAAAGAAAAATTTATTTCTGAAGCAAGTTACCAATCTTCTCTGGAAGTCTTTAAAATTTACATTATGTATTTATATAAGTAACAGAAATATGGAAGCCATTTCAGACAATCTTAACTACTCAAACTCAGTGTAATGATACATATATATATTTATATTTTCAAGCTCTGTCTGCTGGATGGTCAAGAAATAATACACCAGTAGCCACATAAACACATTTATTGCCCAGATACTGGTTTTTTTATTATTTATTAATTTAATTATGATTTTATTTAATAGAGACAAGGTCTTGCTATGTTGTTTGTTTATTTACTTATTTAATAGAGACCAGGTCTCACTATGCTGCCCAGGCTGGTCTCATACTCCTGAGCTCTAGTGATCCTCCCACCTCAGCCTCCCAAAGTGCTGGGATTATAGGAGTGCGCCACCATGCCTAGCCCCAGAAACTGGTTTCTAAATATTATTTCTTAATTAAAAGAAAGAGGACTCCTTAAAGAAATGGTTGATTCCAAGGCTGGGGCAGGCAAAATATGAGATTAGCCCAGAACACTGTGTGAAGTAAGAAGGAAAGAAGTACTCAAAAAAAGAATGGGATATGTTGAAAGGAGACAGAAGGCAACCTGAAGGAGCTCCCAATGGTTAAAACTTGAAAAATCTGAGTAATAAAATAAATGATGACAGTACTGGATTCTAACTCAAAAAGTAAAATGAATGAGGGAAACAGGAAACTCATGATTCCATAAACATTATAGTAATAATTACTGCATGCAAGATCTACCAATGGATGCTAAAATTAGTAAGCTAAAGTTAGATGAGAAACAGGGTATTTGCCTAGTTGCAAAGCACCTGCATAAGATATTTATTAATTACAAAGAGAAAAATAGTGACTTTATAATGGATAAATTGAAGATACTACCCCATCACCTAACCAAGTGATCAAGGTTAACATCACCAGTAATAAGACATATCAGTATCACATACTCCCTGTTAGTATACAGAGAGAGGCAAAATGTCACTTCTGTGACATTCTTGCCAAAAATGCATAATCAGAATTCACTCATGAGAAAACATCAAGCAAATCCAAACTGACACCCTATGATGGTATAGTAACCTTCTGTTTTTAACCTTAGAACCCTTTGTTAAAATGAAAGATTATATAAAACAGATAAAATTAGAGATTTTCTAGATGAAGAACTGATAATAGGCAGGAGACCAGAGTCCCATTCACCTCCTTCAATGGTCTTTACAACACTTTTAACAGACTATCTGATATAAACTACTAATCTAGGGTAAATATTAGTAAGAATAGTATAGTAATGCATCAAGTATCTTGTGATGGAGAGATTATTCTGGATTAACTTGGTGGGCCCTAAATGTAATAACAATTGTCCTTAAAAGATGGCAATTGAGATTGGGTGCTGTGGCTCATGCCTGTAATTCCAGGACTTTGGGAGGTCAAGGCAGGGTGATCACCTGAGGTTGTTCAAGACCAGCTAGACCAACATGTTGAAACCCATCTCTACTAAAAATACAAAGTTAGCTGGGGATGGTGGTGCATGCCTGTAATCCCTACTACTTGGGAGACTGGGGCAATAGAACTGCTTGAACTTGGGAGGTGTAGGGTGCAGTAAGCCAGGTTTGTGCCGTTGTACTGCAACCTGGGCAACAAGAGTGAAACTCCGTCTCAAAAAAACAAAAAAAAAAGATGGAAACTGAGGGAGATTTAAGTACAATAGAGGAGAAGGCAATGTGACGATGGAAAGAGAGGTCATAGTGATACAGCCAGAAGCCAAGGATTGCTGACAGCCTCTGGAAATTAAAGAAACAAGCAGTAAATTCTGCCCTGAAGCCCCAGCCCTATAGACATTTTGATCTTAGTCCTTTAAGACTTATTTTGGACTTCTGACATTCAGAACTGTAAAACAATAAATCAGTGTTGTTTAAAGCCACTAATCTTGTGGCAATTTATTAGAGCAGTCATCAGAAACTCATTCATTTCCAAATCCCTGTGGTAAACAGTAACTTTTTACTCCCTCAAATCCTTAAACTTGGCATGAGGGAGTGATGCATATATGTTGTGTTTTGGTGATAAAGTATCTGAAAGTAGGACACAGTGATTAAAATATCAGTAGTAGTATAAAAACAAATACTGACAGAATCCTTCTCATAATTAATTTAAAGTAATGGTCATTTTAAGAACAGAATCATGAATGAATAAAAGGTAGAAATACAAATAGGAGTATTACATTTCAAACTCTTCATCTCTTGGGAAAATCAGAAGGGGCATGAGCAGCCCTTCTGGTGACTTCTGGTCAGCTGGGAGTGGTTCTATCCATTTTACCCCAGTGTGCCAAACAAATATTAATACTTTCTATGTCAATCATGACATGGAAAAGTTTGAAAACATTAATCTAAGGTACTCCTCACTTATTTAATTATGGAAAAGTTTTAGAAATGAACAAGTGAGAAATAATGGGTAAAGGTAAAACATTTCTCAATAGTATAGTATATTATAGAGTTAATATTTTATATTTAATTTTTGAAACTCTCAAAATATTTAGAATTTGTATAAAATAAGATATACTTACCCTAAACTGTCCATATAATGATATCATGGAAAAGAAAAGAACAACAGCCAGAGGACCCCAAAAGTCAGGATTGTCTCTCACCACTTGTCTATTAAAACCAAGTGATGGCATTGGCATCAAAACACATCGGATTTTGTAGTAAATATCCTTTAGATCGATGTCCAATTCTTCCCTATAATTTAAAATAAAAATTCTCAAAAGGCAGACATTTCTGAATACTAAAACAATTGCAAAAAGAAAATTAAGAAAACTTTAAATAAGACAGTATGATCTCCACAGGTCAACAAAACATTTGCATTTGAAGTACCACATTTCACTAATTCCAAGGTGTACATTTTTAAAATTCCAACATCTCTAAATGTGGGACGTATCTCAATCGCTGGTGTCTTACAATCGTAAGCCTTGAGTGACATCAAGTGTTTCCAATATTTACGTTTCCTTTTGCCAGTCTAGAGGCAATATCATTTTTTTTTTTTTAATAGACGGGGTTTCACCATGTTGGTCAGGCTGGTCTTGAACTCTTGATCTCAGATGATCCGCCCGCCTTGGCCTCCAAAGTGCTTGGATTACAGGCATGAGCCACCACGGCCAGTCGGCAATATCAATTTAAGAAAACTAAGTAAAATTTTCTGCTTGAGACTTTTTGGGCCTAATTCAGATTGGAAACCTATATGAAAACTAGTGTGGGTTTTGCATTCTCTGGGAAAATTCCTTCTTTCAACATCTTATCCACTGCCAAAATGAAGTAAATTTCCTTGCTATCTTTTTCTGTGTCGTGGGTTATTTCCCATTCATCCTCACACTAATGAGGAGATAGCCCTTTGATGTCCCAGCTTTATGCTGTCTTATGTACTTTTTTGTTTAATTAATATGTAAAATAACCTCATCTTATAATCAATAGTGTCTTAGATTTGATGATATATGCATTATTTATTTATTTAGAGACAGAGTCTTGCTCTCTCGCCCAGGCTGGCGTGTGATGGCGCGATTTCGGCTCACTGCACCTTCTGTCTCCCGGGTTCAAGCAATTCTCATGCTTCAGCTTCCCCAGCAGCTGGGACTACAGGCGTGCACCGCCATGCCCTGCTAATTTTTCTGTATTTTTAGTAAAGATGGGGTTTCACCATGTTGGCCAGCCTCAGCTTGAACTCCTGACCTCAAGTGATCCAACCACCTTGGCCTCCCAAAGGGTTGTATTTACTGATGTGAGCCACTGAGCCTGGCTGATACATGGTATATTAACATTAAGAAACACAGGATGTTTCAGCACTTACTCTACTGATAATACAAAGAAGAACCTGGAAATGCCTCAATTTTGCAAAGCTATAGGTTCTTCTTTTCAAAACTATTCATTTCTTTACTTTTATCTCCAGATAATCATAAAATTTCAGGTATTATAAAAAATGTGAAAACCTCTTTATATGTAGCTCTCCTCCCAGTGGTAGCTCTAGAATTTCTATATTGAAGAGATTTTGGAGAGGTAATCTTTTTGGAAATCTTAATTTGTCTGAAACTTAATTTCAACAGCAAGTACCTAAGAGCATTGCTTTTTAAAATTGCATGATTACTTCAGATAGCTGACAGACCCAGGTAAGCTGGAGCAGGGGTGTGTGTGTGTGTGTGTGTGTGTTACAGAATTACCACTCTTGCGATTCTTCTGCCTCAGCCCCCCAAGTAGATGAGATTACAGGCATGTGCCACCATGCCCGGATAATCTTTTGTATTTTTTTCTTTTTCTTTTTTTTATTTAAAAGCTCTTTAGATTCAATTTTTTTAGTAGAAACAGGGTTGCTCCATGTTGGTCAGGCTGGTCTTGAACTCCTGACCTGAAGTGATCCACCTGCCTCAGTCTCCCAAAATGCTGGGATTACAGGAGTGAGCCACCGCACCCAGCTGAGGATTACCATTCTTTTAATTTTTGTCTTTTAACTTGTTAAAAACTATTCTCTCATTATTTTAGTTTTTTAAATTACTAGTAAAATTGACAACTCCTATAGTTTTTGACCAAAAAGGTTAATGTTTTCTCGCTAAATAACAAGAAAGAATATAATCATCCCACAGATTAGCTCTAAAAAAAACCAAAAAATACATATTATTATTTTTACATACAAGAGTGGCTTGTTATCTTCAGGATCATCATCTTCGACTTCCAGAAGCCAGCCATACCCTCTTTGTCTCAGAAATGTAGTAGCTGTAGATTCTTTGATAAAATCTCCACCGAGATTTAATTTGACATCTGGCGATGCTATTGAACCACTGAGATCTTAGGAGAAAAGAGGACAAAACTATATGAACTGGGTACAATGTGTGAATCTTAACCAAAGTGAGCAGATATTCAACTAAAATAATTATCATTTGAAGATCTCCATGAACATCTGCTATTGCATATAATCTTCAAATTTTATAGTTGATAGACATCTAAAAGCCATCATTTACTTTATAAGAATAAAATGAAAGACAAAATAAGTGAAAAGACACAAAAAATTTCACAGCTAATTAGCCAGACTGGTACCAGAATCTAGACTTAAACAGTAATTCTTTAAGATTTCAATGGAAAATACATGCAAAATATATTACATGACATCATTTGTATTCCTTCATTCTTATATACACCCATATGCCTCAGAACAAAGTAACTGAATAAATTCTTTTCAGAGGCATTACATATGTATATATGCAAACTGTTAAGACAATTTACTTACTAAAAAAAATCTGTAGTTTTTTTTCTCTACTTCTTCATGTATTTATTCACACATTCTTTCATTTAAATCATCACATATCTATGCTAAGTGCTTCATATATTAATGCTTAGTTCCAGATAAATCTGATGAGTAAGAGTCCCCTGTCATTTCAGCCAACATTTCCCTTTCTTCATATAATTACATCATACATCTTTAGTTTCGTCAAAAATAAATAAAGGGCTATGTTTTGTTTTTGTTTTTATTTTTAGGTTGGCGATAACAAGACATAAAGAGATTTAGTTATCCACATTAAAAAAATAAATTCCATGTAGAGTCTGCACAGCATCTTAGAGGTTACAGATAATCATGGTAGTACTAATGCCACATTTTCTAGTTGAAAAAAATGGAAAATAGTTAAGGATTTGCTTGAGGTCATATAGGGATCAAAAAGAAAAAGCACATTTGTAGGAACAGACAATATACATTAATAAACAACTATCAACACTGTCAGTGCAAGTCACATGATTATAGTAGTATTTCAGAAAAATATTTTTGGAAACAGCAAACCAGAACACTCTAACACAGACAGATACTTCTCTGGAGATCATGCCCAACCAATACCAAAGTTAGCTTCCTTAAAAAAACAAAAAACTGCTGGGTGCAGTGGCTCATGCCTATAATCCCAGCACTTTGGGAGGCCAAGTGGATCACCTGAGGTCAGGAGTTCAAGATCAGTCTGGCCAACATGGTGAAACCCCATCTCTACTAAAAATACAAAAATTAGCCAAAAATGGTGGGGCACACCGCTAATCCCAGCTATGTGGGAGGCTGAGGCAGGAGAATCACTCAAACCCAGGAGGCAGAGGTTGCAGTGAGCTGAGATCCTGACACTGCACTCTAGCCTAGGTGGTAGAGTGAGACTCTATTGGGGGGGGAAAAAAAACCAACCTATGTTTTTCATATACAGTACAAAGAGCTGCTTAATTTGCACAATACTCTATGAGTCACATCCTAGTCTGCTTATGACAACGCCTGCAATTAATTCTGACAAACGTTTACATTCTGAAGCTAAGTCCCAGCTCAGCTACTAATTAATACAGCAAATCATTCATGTCTTCTGGGCCCCAGTTTCCTATTCAAAGTTCTTTCCAGGTTAAACATTATATAATTCTAAAAAGATTTTTATAAAGAAGCTTACTCACAGATAAAATATAAGATTTGAATTCATTACCTAAAATTTAAAAATAATACCTGTAGATGTTATCATATAATTGTGTAGTTAAAATACTCTCTTAAAAATAGTTGGCTACTTCTTTGTCTTAATCTAAGTTGAAATGAGAGAGGTGGAATTTAACTAAAAGTCTATTTCTAACAGCTACAAAGAGTGTTTTTTTTTTTTCATGCTTTTTTTTTGAGATGGAGTCTCACTCTGCTGCCAGGCTGGAGTGCAGTGGCGTGATCTCAGCTCACTGCAACCTCCACCTCCTGAGTTCAAGTGATTCTCCTGCCCCAGCCTCCTAAATTGGGATTACAGGTGCACACCACCACGCCCAGCATTCATTCATTCATTCATTCATTTAGTTTTGCTCTGTCTCCCAGGCTGGAGTGAAGTGGCACAATCTCAGCTCACTGCAACCTCCACCTCCTGGGTTCAAGTGATTCTCCTGCCCCAGCCTCCTAAATTGGGATTACAGGCGCACATCACCACACCCAGCATTCATTCATTCATTCATTTAGTCTTGCTCTGTCTCCCAGGCTGGAGTGAAGTGGCACAATCTTAGCTCACTGCAACTTCCACCTCCTAGGTTCAAGCAACTCTCCTGCCTCAGCCTCCTGAGTAGATGAGATTACTGGCATGTGCCAGCATGCCCAGCTAATTGTTGTATTTTAGTAAAGACAGGGTTTTGCTGTGTTGGCCAGGCTGGTCTCGAACTCCTGACATCAGGTCATCCGCCCACCTTGGCCTCCCAAAGTGTTGGGATTACAGGTGTGAGCCACAGCATCAGGCCAAGAGAGTTATGTATATATGTATTTATGTATAAAAAAACAATATCATTACATTCTTTCTTTTATACACATGCATTTCATTATTGCTTTTAGATACTTTTTTTTTTTGAGACGGAGTTTCGCTCTTGTTACCCAGACTGGAGTGCAATGGCATGATCTCGGCTTACCGCAACCTCCGCCTCCTGGGTTCAAGTAATTCTCCTGCTTCAGCCTCCCGAGTAGCTGGGACTACAGGCGCGCACCACCATGTCCAGCTAACTTTTGTATTTTTTATTACAGATGGGGTTTCACCTTGTTGACCAGGATGGTCTTATCTCTTGACCTTGTGATCCACCCGCATCGACCTCCCAAAGTGCTGGGATTATAAGATGTAGTTTTATAGACTTGAATATTTCAGTCTGGATTTCACTCTTCATTTATTTATTCATTTACGCCCTCATTCACGCACAGTTCATGTCCTTTTATTTATCAATTTTTTTAAAGAAATTAAGAGTTTTGCTGTGTTGCCCAATCTGGATTCATATGCCTGGGCTCAAGCCCCTCCTCAGGCTCAGTCTCCCAAGTAGCTAAGACTACAGGCCTGTGCCACCGTATCTGACTTCACATCCTTTTAATTGTACTAAATGAATTTTACTTTTTATACATATTACCTTAAATAATTCTAACAAAATTTCTTATAAATGTGTTTCTCATTTTACAGGGGACAAAATGGAAGCTTATAAAAGCTATGTAACTTGCTCAATACCACACAGCTACTTTAAGAGGCCAATCTGGCCTAAATCCAGTAATTTTTCTGGTTATACCATCTAAAGTGGTACTAAGTTTGAAATCCTATCAAATAAAGACATACTGGCCAACATGGTGAAACCCCGTCTCTACCAAAAATACAGGTGTGGTGGTGCAAGCCTGTAGTCCCAGCTACTAGGGAGGCTGAGGCAGGAGAGAATCGCTTGAACCTGGGAGGTGGAGGCTGCAGTGAGTCAAGATTGCACCACTGCACCTGCATTTCAGCCTGGGCAACAGAGCGAAACTCTTGCCGAAAAGAAAAAAAAAGACACGAGATAAATGAAGGCAAAAGAAATTTATTCAAGAAATAATTCTTCTGTGATATTTATACTACAGGTTCTATGACAGCCTGGGGTGTAGAAAATATTAGGAAGTTTCTGTTTCTGAAGGACAGCTGAAGTGAGTCTTACTAAGGAAAGAGCATTTGAGTTCGGTCTAAGGTTTTAACTTGAGGCTAGGAGGAGAAAGACATTCTAAGCATGAAAATCAGAATCACACGGGAAAAAACCACCAAAGCACATTTTAGAACAAAGGGTATGTGTGGACAAATAGGAAGGATAGGTATCAGTAAGAATGAGGGACTTGGAGAGATACCAGAAGGAAGGATATACACAGAAAACATCTATAAGCTGAAAATATTCATGGTTAGAAAAACAGCATAAAAAGGGAGAAGCAAGAATTTATATGACGTGTAGAAACCAGGGAAAAGACTTGGAGTTGTATAGTAAAATGTTCATATTGGAAAACAATACAAAAATAAGTGTGGGGTCAGTTGACACTACCCAAAGCAGCAACATCATTACTCACCCATGTTCAACGCTCGACTCTGCCAGATATAGTAGTAAATGCTTTACATTTGCAAAATATTTGGGCAGTTGGGTATTCTTATTCCCAATGTATACATGAGGAAAAGGGTAAGTAACTTGTAACTCACCCAAGATCACAATGGATAGTAATTGGTAAAACCAGGATGCAAATCCAGGATTCATCTATACTTCAGATACACAATTTAATTTAGAAAAATATAAGAAAGAGGCAGCAGAAAGAAACTTGAGGAGACAGCAGACTAGCTCTTTTGTTTTTTTGAGATGAGATCTCACTATGTTCCCCTGGGTGGCCTCAAATTTCTGGGCTCAAGTGATCATCCTGCTTTCAGCCTGCTGAGTAGCTGGGATTACAGACACATGCTACCACATCTGGCTGTGGACTAGCTCTTAATTCTAGATCTATCATGTGGAAATTGCTAAACCTCTCTAAGCCTCAGTTTCTTTTTTTTTTTTTTTCAGTCAGGGTCTTGTTTTGTTGCCTAGGCTGGAGCATAGTGCCACAATCACAGCTTACTACAGCCTAGAACTCCCAAGCTCAAGTGATCCTCAGAGTAGCTGATTCCAGGGTAACTGGGACCACAGGTGCGCACCATCACGGATGGCTAATTTTTTGTATTTTTTTGTAGAGATGGGGTTTCGCCATGTTGCCTAGGCTGGTCTGAAGCTTGGAGCTCAAGTCATCTGCCCACCTCGGCCCAAAGTGCTGGGATTACAGGTGTAAACCACCACGCCCAGCTAGTCTCAGGAATAATAAAGTTCACTGGGAGTCTTATAAAGAACAAACGGCTCATGCCTATAATCCCAGCACTTTGGGAGTCCGAGGCACATAGATCACGAGGTCAAGAGATCGAGACCATGCTGGTCAACAAGGTGAAACCCCGTCTCTACTAAAAATACAAAAATTACCTGGGCATGGTGGCGCGCACCTGTAGTCCCAGCTACTTGGGAGGCTGAGGCAGGAGAATTGCTTGAACCCAGAAGGCAGAGGTTGCAGTGAGCCGAGATTGTGCCATTGCACTCCAGTCTGGGTAACAAGAGCGAAACTCCGTCTCAAAAAAAAAAAAAAAAAAAAAGAACAAACGGCAAAGACCTGGAACCAACCCAAATGCCCATCAATGATAGACTGGACAAAGAAAATGTTGTACATATACACCATGAAATACTACGCAGCCATAAAAAACGATGAGTTCGTGTTCTTTGTAGGGACTTGGATGAATCTGGAAACCATCATTCTCAGCAAACTGACCCAAGAACAGAAAGCCAAGCACTGTATGTTCTCACTCATAGGTGGGTGTTGAATGAGGAGAACAGGTGGACTCAGGGAGAGGAGCATCACACACAGGGGACAGTTGGGGGGGGGTTGGGGAGAGACAATGGGGGGTGGGGAGGGATAACATGGGGAGAAATGCCAGATATAGTATGCACCTAAAGTAAAATAAATAAATTATATATATATATAAAAAAAGAACAAACAAGGCCAGGCATGGTGGCTCACCCCTGTAATCCCAGCACTTTGGGAGGCCAAGGTAGGTGGACTGCTTGAGCCCAGGAGTTCAAGACCCTGCCTCTACAAAAAATACAAAAGTTAACCAGGCATGGTGGCATACGCCTGTAGTCCCAGCTACTCAGGAGGCTGATGGGGGAGAATCAACTTCAGCCCAAGAGGCGGGGAACTGCAGTGAGCTGAGATCAAGCCACTGCACTCAAGCCTGGGCAAGGGGAGTGAAACTCTGTCTCAAAAAAGAAAAGAAAAGAAGAGCAAATGAGTAGTATGTTTAAAATACTCTAAACTTAAACTGTACAATATCATATTGTATGAATGTATTATTTTGAATACACATATATCTCCTTGGATATACAGAGCTATATGTCTTCTGAGAAAATACAGAGAAGTTTGAATAACATAGAAACATGAGTTTGAACAAACATCATGTTCCGATACTCAATGGAAACAATTTTTTAAACCTGGGAAATTAAAGTTGATATACTTCCCTAAGTATCATGCTACCAAATGTAGATGAAACTGAAATATTTTGGGTTGGTGTATATCAGTTTAAAAAATTTATGGCTGGCTGGTAGCTCACATCTGTAATCCTAGCAATTTGGGAGGCCAAGAGTCTGCAACAAGCCTAGGCAACACAGTGAGATCTACAAAAAGTTTACAAATTAGCTGTGCATGGTGGCGCAGACCTGCAGTCCCATCTACTCAGGAGACTGAGTCAGGAGGATCACTGGAGCCCAGAAGTCTGAGGTTACAGTGAGCTATGATCAAGCCACTGGCACTCCAGCCTAAGCAACAGAGTGAGACCCTATCACAAAAAACAAAAACAAAACAAATAAAAAAAAGAAAAAGAAAAAAATAAATGTATCAGCTATGTTCCCTTTGATAGACAAAAATTTTACTGTACATTTTAAATTATGACCAGTACTATTTTCTAAAAGCAATGCCACTCAAACAGCACAACAAGAAAAACAAAACAAAAGGGAAAATAAACTATACTGATACACCATAAAATTTCTTAGGAAAATCTAGGTTCTTTTTCAGACTGAAATTTCTGTAAACATAATTTACTTTTCCATAGCAGGCAGTTAAGGGTCACTGGAAAATATTAGGCACAAAGTCTAATAAAAGTAAAATTTGAAAATGACTAGCAGAATAAGACCCGATTATGAGTTGGGTAGGGAACTGAGAAAAGGAGGAAAGCATTCTCCTATGCCGTAGAAAAGTATCGCTAGCACAATCGCTTCCTCAGAATCGTACAAGGAAATCTGTAGGAGCTACTGGGAACACACTGTTGGACTACGAGAAGTCTCCAATATACCTTGGTCAATTTCTTTGATTACCTAGGTGAAACATTACAAAATGGGAGAAAAACGGAGACTCGGGCAAGACATCAAATTCGTAAAAACCACTTAGTTTGTATTTGCAGTGCCGAATATGATACCAGATCCCTCCAAAAAGTTATCTCCCCTTATTTGCAGTGGATAATCTGATCCCATACACCCCCAAAAAGTTATCTATTGATACACAACAGAAGAAAACAGCCCTCCTTCCTTTTTCTCAGATTCTTTGAGATCTCCCTTGGCCAATCTGTCCTTTTTCTGAGTAACGGCGAGTAATTCCGGAAACAAAATCTTAGGGTTCCGTGGGTCCACTTGGAGAGAATAAGCCACCCAGAAAAACCAGCCACCAGACGGTGTGGGCAAAGCTAGGGAGACCGAGTAACTTGATGCTTTTAAAGTCGGCTCCCTACACCCCTCCCTCCGTCCTTTGGGGCCTCTCGGACCGCCCGACAGGCGCAGTGAGCAGCAGTCACCAGTCAGCTTCCTGCCCGTCCCCACCCAGCCACGACCGCCTCGGCACCGGAAAGACCCCACGGCGTCGGGCCCTGGCGTCCTCCGGGTGACGGGCCTTCCTGGGGCTCAGCCTCACCTTCTGCGTCAGCTGAGGAAACAAAGGTGAAGTCCCCGTTAGTGGGGGCGTAGGCCGGGGGCGGGCCCGGAGGCTGCATCTCGCGGCCCCTCCGAGCCGGCCGCGGTAGAGGAAGCTGCGACTCAGCTCAGATCCCAAGGCGGCCGCGGCGCCGACCCACACGCTCGCCCTACGGTGCGGCCTGCGAGCCCGGATGTGCGAGCTGGGAGCGAGGACGCAGATGGGCACAGTTAGCCGCTGAGCTGTCCTGAGACTGCCCCACCAAAGTCCTCTCGGTGGCGACCACCCAAGCACCACGACGCCGGCGCCCTGACAGGACCATAACAGTGACAGCGCCGCTGGGATTGGCTCTTTGTAATGTGCTCTCCCATTGGCTCTCGGAGGACAATTCTAATTGGGCCTTCCTGTTGTTGATTCCGGAAGTTTACCCAGGACAGGAAATTCGCTTGTAATTCGTGGAAGTCTCAGGCCTTCTTCTCTTCTTTGGTTATTTTTGTTCCTTTAAGTCCCATCTTTCCTGGCGTTTTCTTTACCCATTTCCTCTGTTTTTGTTAAGTGGATGGGTAAATAATTTTAGAGTTAGGCAGGTTTTGTCGGGCGTGGTGGCTCACGCCTGTAATCCAAGCACTTTGGAGGCCAAGGCAGGCGGATCACCTGGGGTCGGGAGTTCAAGACCAGCCTGACTAACATAGTGAAACCCTGTCTCTACTAAAAATACAAAAATTAGCCTTGCGTGTTGGTATGCACCTGTAGTCCCAGCTACTGAGGGGGTTGAGGCAGGAGAATCACTTGAACCCAGGAGGTGGAGGTTGCAGTGAGCCAAGATTGCGCCACTGCACTCCAGTCTGGGCAAGAGAGTGAAACTCCATCTTAAAAAAAATTTTTTTAAAGTAAGCCTTGGACTAGAGTTGCAGCACCGGGGCTGGGAAAGAGGAAACTGATATTACAGGTATTAAGGTTAAAAATCCCAGGACTTAGTGATTAGTTGGAAGGGATTGAGAGTGAAGAATCTGAAGAGGAGGCTAAGGTGACTATATGGTTTTTTTACTTCAGTGGTGAAAAGTGCTATTAATCAAGTGAAGAAATAGAAGAAGAGGCACTAGGCTGGTGGGAGGGAAAGTTTTGAGCATCATAAATTTAAGAATATGTAGCTTGGCGGGCACGGTGGCTCAAGCCTGTAATCCCAGCACTTTGGGAGGCCGAGGCAGGTGTATCACAAGGTCAAGAGATCGAGAACATCCTGGTCAACATGGTGGAACCCCGTCTCTACTAAAAATACCAAAAAAAAAAAAATTAGCTGGGCATGATGGCACGTGCCTGTAATCCCAGCTACTCGGGAGGCTGAGGCAGGAGAATTGCCTGAACCCAGGAGGCGAGGTTGCAGTGAGCCAAGGTCGTGCCATTGCACTCCAGCCTGGGTAACAAGAGCGAAACTCCGTATCAAAAAAAAAAGATGTAGCTTAAGCTATCTAGTTATTCTTTGCCTTATAAAGACCCAGTGCTCACGGTAGGGTTCTGAGTTATCATAGCATGATAGGCATCAGTGCGTAGTTAGTAATTACCTATGTCAATATGGGTGAGATTGACCAGGAAGAGTGTGCTGAGTGAGAGAAAAGTGCCAACAATGAAACTCTCAGGAACGCCCACATTTAAGGGACAATCTAGGAAGTATTTGCCAGCAAGGAGAAGGCATGAATTGCAATTTTAAATAGAATGATTAGGAAAAGGAGAACATCTTTCCCATCTGCCCATCTTTTTATGTTAACCTTTCCATAGCCTTACAGTCTAGATGTTGTTTTGTAAAGAGCATTTTATTGGTTTTGGTTTTTTGTTTGTTTGTTTGTTTTGAGACGGAGGCTCACTCTGTTGCCCAGGCTGGAGTGCGGTGGCGTGATCTTGGCTCATTGCAACCTCTGCTTCCTGGGTTCGAAGTATTCTCCTGTCTCAGCCTCCTGAGTAGTTTGGACCACAGGCACTCACCACCACACCCAGCTAATTTTTGTATTTTTAGTAGAGTCAGGGTTTCACTGTTAGCCACAATAGTTTCAATCTCTTGACCTTGTGATCCGCCCACCTCTGTCTACCAAAGTGCTGGGATTACAGGCATGAGCCACCTCACCCAGATTGTTCTGCCTTTTAAATTAAATTTTGTTTTGTTTTCCTATTTCTTTATATCAATTATTTTTTCCTTTTACTACTTTGGAAGTTATACCCTCTATTTTTATTTTCTTATTAGTTATAATCAACTTTTTTATTTTTTTTGAGACAGAGTCTCACTCTGTCTCACAGTGGCTCTATCTCAGCTCACTGCAACCTCTGCCTCTGGGGTTCAAGCTGTTCTTGAGCCTTAGCCTCCTGAATAGCTGAGATTACAAGCACTTGCCACCATGGCTGACTAATTTTTGTATTTTTAGTAGAGACAGGATTTTGGCATGTTGGCCAGGCTGGTCTTGAACTTCTGTCCTCAAGTGATCCTCCCAAAGTGTTGAGATTACAGGCGTGAGCCATCGCGCCCACTCTTCTTTGGTTACTTTTAATATGTCTTTGCCTCTCTATGTGCCAGGTGTGGATACCAACATAAGTATGGTATGATTTTATTTTTGTTTGTACTGCTTCAAATTAGTTGGGTAACCTGAACCTCAAGGTGGTTGTCTTTTTTTTTTTTTTTTTTTTTGAGACGGAGTTTCGCTCTTGTTACCCAGGCTGTAGTGCAATGGCGTGATCTCGGCTCACGGCAACCTCCGCCTCCTGGGGTCAGGCAATTCTCCTGCCTCAGCTTCCTGAGTAGCTGTGATTACAGGCACGCGCCACCATGCCCAGCTAATTTTTTGTATCTTTAGTAGAGACGGGGTTTCACCATTTTGACCAGGATGGTCTCGATCGACCTCGTAATCCACCCACCTCGACCTCCCAAAGTGCTGGGATTACAGGCTTGAGCCACTGCTCCTGGCCAGTTGGTTGTCTTTCTTTTGTTCTTAATTTTTATTTTAATGTAAAAATTAGCATTAAAAAGCAGAATGCCATTTTTAATTTAATATTTTTTCTTTGACAAGGTCATTAAAATAGACCAATCCTTAGCAAGACACATAGGAAAACAAAGGAGAAAAGCAATGTATTAGCAATGATGGTGTGAGGAATATAACAATATATTTTGGATATTTTTCCCTTAACAATAAAGAAAATACGATGAGGATTCTATATTTTATAGAAAGGCCAAACAAGAGTGAAGTACAAATTTTTTAGTAAAACATAAATGACCAAAATTGATTTGACAGATAATAGAAAACCATGGGGAAAATGGATAAAGCAGCCATTAATTTTCAAAACACCATGTGTCAAACTGAAATGGAAAAAATAGTCTGAGCAAAAAATCATCAACACAATTTGAAAATATAAATTTCAAAAATTTGTAAAAATACACATATTCTTTAGATATTTTGCTTGCAGGGATTTTTTCTTGGGGAAAGAACGGAAAGATATACATAAAGATTGATGTGACCACGTATGAAATATACCATAATTTATTAGCACCACTTATTAGAAAAAGTATTGATAATAATTTCAATATTCTACTGCAGAAAACTGTGGGTCACACATACAGTGGAAATGTTATTAGGTTGAACGGTATCAGATTGCGTAAGCAACAAAAACAATGACTTCAAATGGTCCAACCTAATAAATATTACACATCACATATTTAAATATCCCAGTAATTTAACTGTGGTTATCTCTGAGTCGGGGGCTTTTGGGTGATTTAAATAGTCTAATAAGATTCTAATACGGGAAGAAAATAAGCACATAACATGTATGTATAGCTTCATAATCTTTCACTAAATTATGAACTCTTGGGGAACAGGCATTAGGTTTTGGTAATCATTACATTCTATTTTTTTTTTTTTTTTTTTGAGACGGAGTTCGCTCTTGTTACCCAGGCTGGAGTGCAATGGCGTAATCTTGGCTCACCACAACCTCCGCCTCCTGGGTTCAGGCAATTCTGTCTCAGCCTCCTGAATAGCTGGGATTACAGGCACGCGCCACCATGCCCAGCTAATTTTTTGTATTTTTAGTAGAGACGGGGTTTCACCATGTTGACCAGGATGGTCTCGATCTCTTGACCTCGTGATCCACCCACCTCGGCCTCCCAAAGTGCTGGGATTACAGGCGTGAGCCATCGCGCCTGGCATCATTACATTCTTGATGCAGAAAGATATCTGAAAATATTTGTTGAATCAATGACTGAAAAAACATTTGTACCATAAAATAGGAAATGTTTAAATTGCAAATGAGAAAAGCTACAGAAATTGCTCATTAAACCATCTGTCTCACCATATGGAAGGGTCAAAGCAATTTTAAGCCTGTAGTACTTGATTTAGGCAGTAATTTTTCTGCAAAGTGTTCAGTATGTGTACTATCTGATAATATTATTATGAGATGTTATGTCTGCTTTCTAACTGTCTTTGAAAACATCTTATTAAATTTCATTGATATGTGGGTAACTAAGGAAACTTCAAAGATAAATGGGGATATTCAACATAAAGGGAACATTCCCATCTAAATGTTTGGAACAGAACTGCAGCATAGTATTTTAATGTATGATAATGATTTGTGAAATTACATTAAATACATTTTACTGATTCATTATCCAAAATTCTCAAATTTCAAAAATGAAATCTTTGAAGATGTCAAATAATTGTGTAGACTGTGCTGATGGTCTGCCAGGAAAACATTGCAGAATTGGAGTTGAGTTGTTTTCTTCTCTCTAGCGGATAGAAGAACGTGAGAAACCACTCGCTGTAGTGGTCTTTAATGCGATGCAAAAGAACATGGAAATACATATTTGCTCAGAAATCCTATTTAGTGTATTGAGGAAACCTTGAAGAAAAACCCTGAAGTGTTAATAATTTGCCTACAATCTTTTTTGTCCAAATGTTTGGATAAGCTGACAGGAATTAATTCTATAAAAATCCTTTCTTTCAAATTATTTCACTAATGTAAAACTCCTCAATCCAGTAGCATTCTTTGACATTCCTCTTAATATCCAAATGCTAATTTTGCCTACCTAATATTAATAAATGAAGCAGGCATTTTGTATTATTCTCTCTCCTTATTCATAGGATTGGTGTATTTTTTAATTAGGTTCAAAAGTTACAACTGCTTTGTTATTTTTACTAGAAAATTTATTCTTGTACTCACCTAATAGATATGATAATCCGTACAGAGCTTAGAAGCTTTTGCATTCTATTTATAAAAGAGATATAGTTCCTAGGCATGAAGTTGGCTCTGACCAGAAACAGGTAAACCAGGAGAGAATATTCATAAATACAGTAAGTAGATGTATTTGGTTATAATATTTTGTTGGCTGATGTCACACTTGATTTGCAGCTTTCAAAATACAAACTAGTGTCCTTGAAATACAATGTTGCCTGGTAACAAAAAGCTTATCAGCTCAAATGAGGTGACAGGTTTTTTGTTTGTTTGTTTATTAGTATTTTTTTTGGTCACAAACAAATAGCTTTAAAATGATGGCTGAAATATACATTTCAAGATTTGGATTCATTTTATTTTTTTATTATTTATTTATTTATTGCATTTTAGGTTTTGGGGTACATATGAAGAACATGCAAGATAGTTGCATAGGTACACACGTGGCAGTGTGATTTGCTGCCTTCCTCGCCTTCACCTATATCTGGCATTTCTCCCCATGCTATCTCTCCCCAGCTCCCCACCCCCCACTGTCCCTCCCCTATTTCCCCCAACAGACCCCAGTGTGTAGTGCTCCCCTCCCTGTGTCCATGTGTTCTCATTGTTCAACACTCACCTATGAGTAAGAACATGCGGTATTTCATTTACTGTTCTTGTGTCAGTTTCCTGAGAATGATGGTCTCCAGGTTCATCCATGTCCCCACAAAGGACACGAACTCATCATTTTAAATTTTTAATTATTATCTCTTCTAGCCTTTCTGCTACTCTATTTTCTGTCTCCCCTCTTTCTGAAACTCCAATTAGTTATATAAGATTAATAGTAACACTTACATAATGCTTACCTAATACTTACATGGCACTTACTAATGTAAATAGTTAACATTAATTGATTTAATCCTCATGAAAACTTCATGAGGTAGGTACTGTTATTTTCCCACTTAACAAATAAGGAACATGAAGCAGAAAAAAAAAGTTAGTCACTTGCCAAAGATATAGGAGATTCTAAGATATAGAACCAGCACATGAAGCCCAGTAATCTGATTCCAGAGTCTCAGCTACAATGCCATAAAACCTCATTGTCTTTTTGCTACTCTTCGGAGTTCATTATTCCCCTCTTTAAGGCCTAATTTTGTTTTGCTTTGTTTTGTGGGTTGGTTTTTCTTGTTTTTTTGCCTCTGCACAAGTTAATGGGTCACTTTATACAGCTCTGGTTATCAACTGAATTTGACATCTTAGCAATTAACTTGCAGCAGTCACGACAAAATGTAAAAGAGCAGTTTTGTTTTGTTTGTTTTGTTTTGTTTTGTTTTTGAGACGGAGTCTCCCCATTACCTAGGCTGAAGTGTAGTGGTATGATCTCAGCTCAGTGCAACC